TGGGGATCCCAGGCACCCCAATAGGGTCCCCACCATCTGATGAGGGTCTTCATCACCCTATGGGGTTTTCAAGCATTTCCTGGGGTCCCCTGATACATTATGGGGTCTCTGTCACCCTATGGGGTTTCCAACACCTCCATGGCTACCCTGACTCGTTATGGGATCGCTGGCACCCTGTGGGATTCCTGCTATCTCCCAGGGACCCTGACAACTTATGGGGTCTTGGTAGCCTATGGAGTTCCTGTTACCCCATTAAAGTATCTGACGTCTTATGGGGATCCCAGGCACCCCAATAGGGTCCCCACCATCTGATGAGGGTCTTCATCACCCTATGGGGTTTCAAGCACTTCCTGGGGTCCCCTGATACATTATGGGGTGCCTGGTACCCTATGGGATTTCTGGCACCTCCTGGGGACCCCGACACACTGTGGGGTCTTGGTACCCAAAGTGATTCCTGGTGCACCATTAAAGTGTCCAATATGTTATGGGGATCCCAGGCACCCCAATAGGGTCCCCAGAATCTGATGGGGGTCTCTGGCACCCTATGGGGTCTCTGACACCTACTGGTGACCCTTGACTCGTTATACGGGTCTATAGGATTCCTGGCATCCCAGAAGAGTTCCTGACCTATGATGGGGGTCTCTGACATGTTATGGAGATCCCTGGCACCCCAATAAGACCCCAACCATGTCACCCTATGGGGTTTTTGGCACCTCTTGGGGACCCCTACCACATCATGGGGTCCCTAACACATTATGGGGTCCCTGGTACCCTATGGGGTTTTTGGAACTTCCAAGGGGACCCTTGCCACATTATGGGGTCCCTAACACATTATGGGGTCCCTGGCACCCTATGGGGCTTTTGGAACTTCCAAGGGAACTCTTGCCACATTACGGGGTTCCTGGCACACTGTGGGGTTTTTGGAACTTCCAAGGGGACCCTTGCCACATTATGGGGTCCCTGGCACCCTATGGGATCCCTGGCACCCTATGGGGCTTTTGGAACTTCCAAGGGGACCCTTGCCACAATATGGGGTTCCTACCACATTATGGGGTCCCTGCACCCTATGGGGTTTTTGGAACTTCCAAGGGGACCCTTGCCACATTATGGGGTCCCTGGCACCCCAGGGAATCCCTGGCACCCTATGGGGATTTTGGAACTTCCAAGAGTACCCTTGCCACATATGGGGTTCCTGGCACCCTATGGGGTTTTTGGAACTTCTAAGGGGACACCTACCACAATATGGGGTCCCTACCACATTATGGGGTCCCTGCACCCTATGGGGTTTTTGGAACTTCCAAGGGGACCCTTGCTACATTATGGGGTCCTTGACACCCTATGGAATCTCTGGCACCCGATGGGGTTTTTGGAACTTCCAAGGGGACCCTTGGCACCCTATGGGATCCCTGGCACCCTATGGGGCTTTTGGAACTTCCAAGGGGACCCTTGCCACAATATGGGGTTCCTACCACATTATGGGGTCCCTGCACCCTATGGGGTTTTTGGAACTTCCAAGGGGACCCCTACCACATTATGGGGTTCCTACCACATTATGGGGTCCCTGCACCCTATGGGGTTTTTGGAACTTCCAAGGGGACCCTTGCCACATTATGGGGTTCCTGGCACACTGTGGGGTTTTTGGAACTTCCAAGGGGACCCCTACCACAATATGGGGTCCCTACCACATTATGGGGTCGCTGCACCCTATGGGGTTTTTGGAACTTCCAAGGGGACCCTTGCCACATTATGGGGTCCTTGACACCCTATGGGATCCCTGGCACCCTATGGGGTTTTTGGAACTTCCAAGAGGACCCTTGGCACCCTATGGGATCGCTGGCACCCTATGGGGCTTTTGGAACTTCCAAGGGGACCCTTGGCACCCTATGGGATCCCTGGCACCCTATGGGGTTTTTGGCACCTCCTGGGGACCCCTACCGCATCATGGGGTCCCTAACACATTATGGAATCCCTGGCACCCTATGGGGTTTTTGGAACTTCCAAGAGTACCCTTGCCACATTATGGGATCCCTGGCACCCTATGGGGTTCCCTGCACACGGATCATCCCTGGCACCCAATGAGGCCTCTTCTTCCCGCTGGCTCTGCTGCTGCGGTCGCAGAGTGACCCACAAGGAATCATTTCTTCCCTGGATCGACGTTTCCCCCCCCCCCTCCCCACCCCCCCACGCTGAGTGTGGGGTTTCTCCGTTCCGCATCCGCTGCTCCCGTCGCTCAGCCCGGAGCTCTGTGACATTAAAGGGCGCTATTTCTGAAGTTCTCATTTCCTGACACCCGATAGCATCTCCCCTTCCACCACCCACTGCTGCCGGGACTCACAGCTCTCTGCGCTCTGCACACCCCCGGCTTGAGGGGGGGTCCTGCGGTGTCACAGCCCCCAGGGATGAAGGTCCCCGTGGTGGTGGCACTGCCCGTGTCCCCACGGCACCGCAGAGCAGTGGGACTGACCACGGGTGGCAGCACTGGCACACAGCAGTGCCATGCAATGCAGTGCCATAGAATGGCAGAATGGTTGGGGTTGGAAGAGATCCTATAGATCATAGAACCATGGGATCGTGGCATGGTTGGGTTTGAAAAGATGCTACAGATCACTACAGATCATAGAAGCATGGGATCTCTGCATGGTTGTGTTGAGAGGGATCCTACAGATCATAGAACCATGGGATCATGGCACGGTTGGGTTGGGGAGACCCTATAGATCATAGAAGCATGGGTGGGATCATTGCACAGTTGGGCTGGGAGGAACCCTATAGATCGTAGAACCATGGGACTGTGGCATGGTTGGGTTTGAATGACACTACAGATCATAGAACCTTGGGATCTCTGCATGGTTGTGTTGAGAGGGACCCTACAGATCATAGAACCATAGGATTATGGCACGGTTGGGCTGGGGGGACCCTACAGATAGAACCATGGGATAATGGCATGGTTGGGTTTGTAGGACACTATAGATTGCAGAACCATGGGATCATTGCACAGTTGGGTTGGGAGGAACCCTATAGATCATAGAGCCATGGGACTGCGGCATGGTTGGGTTTGAATGGCACTACAGATCATAGAACCTTGGGATCTCTGCATGGTTGTGTTGGGAGGGACCCTATGGATCACAGAACCATGGGACCATGGCACGGTTGGGTTTGTAGGACCCTATAGATTGCAGAACCATGGGATAATGGCATGGTTGGGTTTGTAAGACCCTATAGATTGCAGAACCATGGGATCATTGCACAGTTTGATTCGGAGGGAACCTATAGAACATAGAACCATGGGATCATTGCACAGTTGGGTTGGCGGGACCCTATAGATCCTAGAGACATGGGATCATTGTATGGTTGGGTTGGAGGGACCCTATAGATCATAGAGCCATGGGATCATTGTACGGTTGGGTTGGAGGGATCCTGTAGATCATAGAGCCATGGGATCATTGCATGGTTGGGTTGGGAGGAACCCTATAGGTCACAGAGCCATGGGATCATTGCAAGGTTGGGTTGGGGGGACCCTACAGATCCTAGAAGCATGAAATCACTGCATGGGTGGTTGGAAGCGTCTCTGTAGATCACAGCACCATGGGATTATGGCACAGTTAGGTCAGAAGGGATCCTATAGATCATAGAACCAGGGGAGCACTGCATGCCCCCTGACATCTAACCTCCACCTGCCCTTCTTCAGTTCGAAGCCATTCCCCCTTGTCCCGTCGCTACCTACCCACGTAAAACGTTGATTTCCCTCGTGTTTCTAGACTCCCTTGAAATACTGGAAGGCTGCAGTGAGGTCTTCCTGCAGCCTTCTCTTCTCCAGGCTGAACAACGGTGGTTCCTCAGCCTGCCTTCGTAGGAGAGGTGCTCCAGCCCTTGGCTCATCTTCACAGCCTCCTCTGGGCCCCCTCCTACAGCTCCACGTCTTTCCTGTGCTGAGGTCCCCAGATCTGGATGCAGTGCTCCAGGTGGGGCACTCAAACCCATCATCTGTCGCTGAGGACAGGCTGAGAGAGCTGGGGCTGTGCAGCCTGGGGAAGGGAAGGCTCCAGGGGGACTTTATCGCTCTGCCTGCACCTGGGGGGCAACAGGAAAACTGGGAAGGACTTCTTATAAGGATGTGCAGTGATAGG